GAGGGGAAGGGGAGGACAGAGAGAGGGAGAAGCAGACTCCCTGCCGAGCAGGGAGCCCGATGCAGGGCTCGATCCCAGGACCCTGGGATCATGACCCGAGCTGAAGGCAGACGCTTAACCGACTGAGCCACCCAGGTGCCCTGAGTTCTTATATTCTAAATGCTGCTTTTTGTGTGTCATAGACATTAAAAATCAAAAAACCCCTTCGATTCCTTCATTCATCAAATTACGTAAAACCATTTGATCATTAGAAGTGTCTTCTCTGAACCCTAGACAAGTGCCACAGTTTTGTATTATATTAACCTTACTTGAATACGTAATACACAGAAATTATCATTGAGTACTATGTGCCAGATAATATCCCACAAACGGTTTTGAAATTGAACATGAATTCAATGCCTGACTTCCCCACTGACTTATCGACTCTTTGGCATCTGAGTTCAATTCTCTAAAGCTCAGTTTCCTTGTTTGCAAATGAGGGTAGTAATGGTATCCTCGTCAGAAGGCTATGATGAGGACCCTGCAAAGTGATAGTTTATTGAATAGTGAACCGATTAATCACCTGTGTAAATAAATAGGATGTGTGTGTTTAAATCTTGGCTCTGCTGCAGAGTGATGATGGGTAAGTTACTTTATTACTCTGAGCCTCAGTTAATGCGTATATAAATTAAAGGTGGTGGTGGGACCTACCGTGCACCGTGATCACACGTATGTAAAATTCTTAGAATAATTTCTGGCACATGAGTGCTTAATAAATACTGGCAGCTAACTTTTATCATTTCAGTTATCTGTATAATTTTATTTCTCATCCTATATAGCATTTGTAACTTCATACTTTTATAAAAATATAAATACAGATTTATGTATATAGAGAATCTGGGGAAACTATTGTTTTTATGTTCTTTCATGTATGCTGGTTTACGGCTCTACATGGGCTGGAGAAAGGTTGGTGTTTAGAACGTCTTCGTGTGGCACATGGTGTTGTTACTTGTTTTAATTTGGATATATCAGACTTCCAGAGCTGCCTATCAAAACACGATGACATGTAAGCGGCAGAGCCCGTGGATCCGGTCAGAACCAGTGATGTTTAGCATGGAAGGGAAAGTCGTGGGCACATCCTTGTGGCAGTGAATTATTTTCCCACCCTTTCTTCCTGTCAGAAACTCCTTCCTTTGCCCTTTGAGGCAACTCTTCCTCTTCAGAGAGCACAACGAAAACCAAGTGGTTGAATTCGCCACAGAGAACTGGGGATGTTTGAAACTATGAAGCAAACAATTCTTGAATTTATGTATGCAAATGCATGTACGTAAAAATAGAAAGATGTTTATAGATGGTATAAATAGTCACAGGAGATGACAATCCAACTACATGGAGTTTGTTAATTCATGTCCCCAGTCACTTCTGAGCGCTCTGTGGAGATCAGTGAGAAGAGTTAGGGATTGAATCTTTGACTTAAAGGAGCACACATTATCTTTTAAGGAAAATGGAAAAATAAGTGTTAATCTTTGCTTTCAGGGAATACGGAGCCATTGATGATGTAGATATTGATCTGCATATTGATGTTAGCTTTCTGGATGTAAGTATCAATTTATACAATATGATTGGTACATTCAAAAATGTTTATTTGTATTGTTGGAAAAAATTAAATATTTGCTTCTCATTATTAGTAACAAGCTGATTTTGTTAAAGTGATTATAGAGAAATACAGTGACTGGCTGAAGAAACACATTTTATATATGTATATTTTTACATTGGTTCTTTTAATATATTCTGAAATTTATGGGCTCTTAATATAGTACTTCATTATTTCTTAAATTTTCACTTTAATTTTCCTGTGTAGAAGGTAAAAATTAAGAATACTTTGACATTCTTTTCCAAACCCTAGGTCTTGAGGTAATTTGTGAGCCTTATTGATTTATGTATTTCTTCAAAATAAATTTAAAAAAGCGTTTCATTTTGGAAAAAAAAAATCAAGAACTCTATAAAAGGTGACTAATTCATCTTTTAATATATTTGCACAGGAGGAGATTGCTGTGGCTTGGGAAGTGATTCGAACAGAACCTATAATTGTCCGACTACACTGTTCCCTTACACAGTATTTAAATGGCCCAGGTTAGTTTTATTTCTCTGTTTACTATTTTGAGTATGAATTAGTTGTGCTTTGGGCGTGAAAGGGAGTGTTCATTTGGTAATTCTGAGCATAATAGCAGCTATCTTGATAATGGTATTTAAATATACTTGCATCCTAACAAAGATGGTTTATTGCCAGTATAACTTATGGAAACAGAAACATACAACATTTAGTTGTATAGATTTCAGGAGTTGACAAGTTGCTGTGAAACAAACAAATAAAACCTAAAAGAGAACTTTGCATATAGTAGAGGCTCAGTAAGTATATTTTGGGTTGCCCTTAGATTTAATTATTTATGTCTCTGATTCTGGGATTCGATTTTAATGTTTACTTATCCCACCTTTGATTACTGATGAATTTAGCCTAACTATAAATATAACATACTTCTATTTTTAAAAATGGAGATCTTAGTAATATTTTTGTTTTCCACTATCTTGAAGGATGATTTTGCTATATCTCAAGTGATAGCTATTTACAGCAAAGGACATGATTATTAAATCTTGCCAATACTTACTGGATTACGATATCTTCCCCTACCAGATACACATGCACATGCGTGCATCTGCACGTGCACGCACACACTCGCGTGCACACACACACACTGTATCTACTCATGTTGCTACAGTTATATACTGCTGAATAACAAACCACCCCAAACTTACTGGCTAAAAACAGCTTATCATCTCTCACTGTTCTTTGAGCTCAGCTGAGCAGTTCTTGCTTGGAGTCTCCCATGCCTTTGGAAGTCAGGTGGTAGATGGAGCTTATGTCAACTAAAGGCTCTTCTAGGTTGGATGCTCAAGATGCTGGACTTTGAGATATCTTGCAGTTGATGAGTATGTCATCTTGGAGCTCAGCTGCGGCCCCTTGACTTGACTGTTGACCTTACACGTGGCTTCTTCATGTGGTTCCGGTTTCTTGTAGCATGGTGACTGGGGTCCGAAAGCAAGTGTTACAAGAGACAGGCTGTGGATGCCACCTGGAAAAAGGCACAGTGAATGTTCCGCTGTATTGTATTGTTCAAAGCAGTTGAAAAACCCACCCAGAATCAAGGGATATGGACATAGACAGCACCTCTTGAAGTCAAGGCCGTCTTCACACATCCTTTACTGTGATGTTGGCATGTTTTTCTTTAGGCATATTAAGGAACTTAACATCTACTATTAGCTTTTACCCAAGAAAGATCCCTGACCCATTCCAAGTTTATGAAATACATAGGAAAATCTTTCATTTTGAAAAAGTTTCTGTTGAGTCACCTATTTTCTGTTTTTGTATAATGATTTCTACTTAAATAATCAGCTCTTAATATAAACAACATATGATTTAATGCCAGGCAAAGACAACTAGATGTTACATATTTTTATTGTGATTATTTCAAATGTGTAGAAATGTAAGAAAGAAGAAAAAGAATTACTCATAATCCCTCTATAGTGAGAAACCTGTGAATAGTTTGGTGTTTCTCTTTTCTCTGCACACATGGCTCATTTTCATAAAGTTGACATTGAACTGTATAGTTATACACCTTAATGTTATGTCATGAGACTGTCCTCAAGTCATTAAATATTCTAAAATGGAATAATTTGTAATATCTGCACAGTATTCCAGGTATAAGTGTATGTGTTTTTGCTTTTTCCCCAGATACTTTGTTGTATGGTTAAGTTTTTTTCTTTCTATAGGGATTTGATATGTGACCATTCGATTTTATTCTGTTGGTGGTTAAAAGAAAAAGCAGCTCTTCTGTCTGAACTTTTTTTTTTTTTTTAATTATCAGGGTTAGGAACAAAATTGGGTCAGTTCATCTCTACTCACACTACTCCATCTGTGTGAGATGAGAATGTGGCATGCTTTTATGTAATCTTACCACTGTTACTCACTTTTTAAATATAATCTTGAATTTTAGGCAGAGATTATCCTTTTCAACGTCTCTTTAAAGATTTGTTATATTTCCATGGTTTTGTAAATGTTCTAACAATTATTCTAATTCACGTTTAGATGATTGTATTGTTCAGTACCCCTTTTTCGGTATTACAGCTCATCCATAATTTAGTCCTTCTGTTTTCATTTCTATTAGTTGATTTGCTACCTAATAGTTTGTAAACCAAAGAAACATGAGGATTATGCTTGTTTTTTTCATACTGGAGAATGTCTCTCTCATTTTGTGAATGAGACACACTTGACCAACTGTAAGTTTATGGGGTTATTATAGTCCCCCCCCCAAAAAAAAGGTAAAAATACTTGAGAGACTTCTGCTAGTTTGTGTCTGAAGTGTTTTAATTTTGTTCATTTGCAAGACATCTATTTTGGCGTTGCTTGTGTTTTGTTATGTGTACTTATTGGGCTATTTTTTCCCTCTTTTTCCTTAATATTATCTTTTACGTATTTATTTTTCAATTGGTACCCTTTGGTCTTAATTTACCTCAAACAAGTTTTGTGACTAATCCAAGGTTTAGACTGACCTAGTTAGCAGTTCTTTTTGAAAGCATTCATTGCTAAGTTTTGGAAATGTATGAGTAATACTTATTTGAGCTGTAATATTTGATCAGGGCTAATCTGACAAAATATCTGTAAGTGAACAAGAATGATAAGAATTAAAGAAATATACCTCCTTATCCACTTTAATATTAAAGATTATTTTCAATGTATATGAGGAAATATATTTTAAATAAAAAGACATGATTATTCTTATTATGTATTTTTTTCAGCATTGCTGGTGTAAAAGTCTAGTTTCTGATCTGAAAGGCAAGGCTGCTTTTAGTTTAATGTGATAAACAACCAACATTATTAAAAATGTTTTTCTGTGCAAATCATCTCATTATTGGCACCTGCACATGTACATGATCAGTGTTAGAATCATTTCCACGTATCTTAAGCAGCCCTCACTTACTGCCTTCCCAACCTACGTTATATGAAAGACAAGGAAAAATCGAATAACTTTCATCTTTTTTAAAACATAAAAATATTTCTCTAGTGCATTCTGTCAAGTTCTTCCTCAGTCTGTTGTCCCTAAAAATGAACCCTCGTGGGGAATTATTTGGTTATTTTAAGGTAACTTTTAAATAAATTTAGGAAGAATAGACATTTTTATATTCACTTTTCCTTTATTCCTTTAAAGGAAGATTTGTTCATTGTTTTTAATTTTATGTATCAGTACCATTCTGTGTTTTTTGGGTTTTTTTCTGCCTGAGGTCAGTAATTTTAGCTAAATTTATTCATGAGTACTTGTTTGCTTAATGGGACTTTTATATTCCAGTTTATTTTCTAACTGATTCTTAGTTATCAGAAAACTATTACTTTTAAAAATTTTTATAAAAATTGAGGTGCCTGGTTTCTTCGTTGATTAAGTGTCCAACTCTTGATTTTGGCTCAGGTCATGATCTCAGGGTTGTGAGATTGAGCCATGCATCGAGCTCTGTGCTGAGTGTGGAGTCTGCTTAAGATTCTCTCTCTCTCTCTCCCTCTACCCCTCCTTCCTGCTGTCTCTCTCTATCTCTCTCTCAAAAAAAATTATAAAAATTAATCTAAAACATTTTTAGATTTACGGAAAAATTGTAAAGGTAGTACAGTGTCCCCATATACTCTGCATCCAGTTTCACTGGTTATTAACATCTGAATACACTCAAGGCAACTAATAGTAATAATTAATTTCATTAATTTAATAGTAGTATAAGTTTTATCACTTGAATCTTGGAACAGTTTTGAAAGTAACATCTTGTTAGCTCTTTCAGTATATTCTAAAATTTGGGTCATCCAGATTTTATACTACTAGTTGAGTCAGTGTTTGTAACTTACATTTCTCTAGAAGATTTATCATTTTGGTAAAATATTGATGTTTATTTTCTAGTCATTCATAGTATGAATAAGTTTTGGTCTTTGTATCATTAATTTGTAGGAATAATTTATATATTCTGGGTAAACATTTTGTGTCTCTTATCTCTCTTTTCTCTCTCTCTTTCTCTGTGTATCTTATATAATTTCTTCCGGTGACAATTTCAGTTCTTCTAGTGCATTTTGGATTTTTCAAAAACCAGGTCCCTTTTGTTTCTCTGCCTCCATCTCCCCAGTCACTTTTCCCACCTACCTGGGAATAGATTGTGTCTTCTTAAATCTTTTAAGAGAGAGCATAGCATGTTCCAATTTTGTCATCTTTTCTTAAAAAAAAAAAAAAAAAAAAAATTCTGCTGAGTTTTCAAGATGTTAGGATTTTTCTTATTCATTTTTGAATTTCTGTAGCCCTGGGTTTGGGATAGGAGGGATTCGAGTGATGTCCACTCTGTTCTTCAGTCTGTATCTAAGGATTAGCATGCTTTTGGAAAAGGAACTTATTGACGATACTAACAACAGTTTTCTTTGATCAGTGGAGTGTTTGTGTCCCAGAGTAACTGCCAACACGGGGGGTGAGGAAATTGGGGATACCAGTTTGGTTCCAATGTGGAGCACGTGTGATCTGAGAACGTCCTGTTAACAAAGACAGTTCACCACCTCCACTGATCCAGAACACAGTATCTCTTGCCAATTACTTTAATAAGTTCCTGAGTGATCTTTCCTACTTCTACCCTTGTTTTCTAATGACCAAGAATGATCTCCAAAATCTATATATATAAACCATAAATAGCAATGTATAAGACTGTGTATATGCTATTTTTAAATATGTATGTGTGTATAAATATTTCTTACATACTATATAATATGTAAATGTATAATATATTTATGTCTGTGTACATATTAGAGTGTATCATATATATTACTTTTCAGTCTTTTTCCTGGCTGTTGGTTAAGTTTCAGCTCAACGTATTGACTGATTATTTTTTCCTTTGCAGTGCCCACTGTTGATGTCTTTCAGATTTCTACAAAAGAGCGATTTGGATTGGGACATCAGCTGAAAAAGTAAGTTTCCCAAGAATAAAAAAATAAATTTCTTTGAAAGAGAGCTGAGTTCTCATTTTGCTCACTCCCCTCCCCCTCTTCTTATTAAATAAGAGCTCTTTGAAGTGAGCACCTCAGGAGAGGAACTCATCCGATGCCAAGAGCTGCATCAGTAATTTAGCTGGCAGAGCTCACCTCTCGAAGCAGCCGCAGTCCTTCTGTTTGCCCACCCGGGTCCACTCTCCTCCCTCCAACACCTGCCCTCACCTGTGGAGGTTGATCTGTGTGGGTGCAGGTTCTCATGTGTTGCTGTGTCTTGAATGTGACCAACAGAGGAGGAAGCAGTATAAAAAAGGAGTATTTATTGCCTTTGGTTTCCACTCTAAGAGGTTACCTTGAGTTGACTAGCCCTTCAAGTGAAGCTTTCTTCTCTGCTCTAGGCCACAGCCTATCCATGACTCTCTCTCTTACTGGGTTCCGTTACACGTTCCCTCTGCCTGTTCCTTGGGGCCTAGAGGTGGTAACAGTTGGCAGCCACTGCCTTGTGCTTGGCTCCTATACTTACGCTCTTGAAATGATCATTCCTTTTTTTTTTTTTTTTATATGACAGAGAGAGACACAGCGAGAGAGGGAGCACAAGCAGGGGGAGTGGAGGAGGGAGAAGCAGGCTTCCTGCGGAGCAGGGAGCCCGATGCGGGGCTCGATCCCAGGACTCTGGGATCATGACCTAAGCCGAAGGCAGACGCTTAACCATCTGAGCCACCCAGGCACCCCTGATCATTCCTTTTTTAAATAAACCCTTTATTTCCTCTTCGGACCTTGACTAATGCAATGAATGAATTTATATTTTATGAACATAAAATTATCCCAGTCAAAATGACTTTTAAAACATGGTAGCATCTAGTCAAAATATAAATTTAATAAATCCTATGCTATATATCAGCTATAAGAATTTGTATTACTGGGACGCCTGGGTGGCTCAGTCGGTTAAGCATCTGCCTTCGGCTCAGGTCGTGATACCGGGGTCCTGGGATTGAGTTCCGCATAAAGCTCCCTGCTCAGTGGGGAGCCTGCTTCTCCTTCTGCCTCTGCCCCTCCCCCCACTTGTGCTCGCTCTCTCTGTCTCACAAATAAATAAATAAAATCTTAAAAAAAAAAAAAGAATTTGTATTACTGGAGAATTTCCGAAGGATTATTTATTCTTCTGAATATGCAAATTTTACTTCAACTTAAATTTACCATTAGATTATTATATATTTAAACACGTGGTTTGCATCCTCAACGATGATTCAGTTCATGTGTTCACCTGTATTTTAATGAATTTTAATCGGGCATCAGACATCAGCCTTTATTGAGCAATGTTCTAAGAGAAAGTACTTTGAAACTTTTTATTTCATTTACTAAATAGAGATTTATTGTGGTCATTTTACTTGAGATTATGGATGTAAGAGGAAGCTTGTGTGTGTGTTATCAAGGGTTGTACATATTATGGAGCTCTAGAATTGTCTTAAAGTTTTTATGACTTGACATTGCTCAGATATGAGTTATGTGTGGATCACATTTGAAAGGAAATTAAGATAAAGGGAGTATTCTTGCAAATTCCCAATGTTGCGTTTAAATGTGAACATATAAAAATTAGATAATAAACCCTTAATGTTTCAAATTGCACATCTCTAAAACTAAATTCAATTTACAACATATGTTTAGCACATTATATAATGCAGTGTGGTTTCCTTATAAGCACTTAAAGGAGCAGTTTTCTCATTTTTCTGTACTAGGATTAGGTGTGCTTTTCCATTGGAATTGGTTTTTTTGTGTGTGTGTTGTTTTGTTTTTTAAAGATTTTATTTATTTATTTGAGAGAGAGCGAGCGAGAGAGAGGGAGAGAGAGAGAGCCTGAGCAGAGTGAGGGGCAGAGAGAGAAGCAGACTCCCCGCTGAGGCGGGAGCCCAACCTGGGGCTTAATCCTGGGACCCAGGGATCATGACCTGAGCCAAAAGCAGATGCTTAACTGACTGAGCCACCCAGGTGCCGATGGTTTTTTTTTTTATTATGTTATGTTAATCACCGTGCATTACATCATTAGTTTTTGATGTAGTGTTCCGTAATTCATTGTTTGCATATAACACCCAGTGCTCCATTCAATACGTGCCCTCCTTAATACCCATCACCAGGCTAACCCATTCCCCCACCCCCCTCCAATCTAGAACCCTCAGTTTGTTTCTCAGAGTCCATAGTCTCTCATGGTTCGTCTCCCCCTCCGATTCCACCCCTTCATTTTTCCCTTCCTACTATCTTCTTTTTTTTTTTTTTTTTAACATATAATGTATTATTTGTTTCAGAGGTACAGGTCTATGATTCATCAGTCTTACATAATTCACAGCGCTCACCATAGCACATACCCTCCCTAATGTCCATCACCCAGCCACCCCATCCCACCCACCCCCCACCACTCCACCAACCCTCAGTTTGTTTCCTGAGATTAAGAATTCCTCATATCAATGAGGTCATATGATACATGTCTTTCTCTGATTGACTTATTTCACTCAGCGTAATACCCTCTAGTTTAATTGGATTTTGTTTTCTGTGTTGAGCTAATGTCTTACAGGTCTTGGAGCTAAGCATGGAGCCTGCCTCTATGTTATGCCATCCAAGTTGATTACCACCATACCTTGGCACATCTTTTATTTTTTTTCCCCCTCCTGTGATGTTTTCTCCCCTCACACAATTTTCCTTGTTTTTAAATTTTTTTTCTAATTTAATAACTTGATTTTTTAAGAGCAGTTTAAGGTTCACAGCAAAACAGAACAAGATACAGAGATTTTCCATATACTTCCTGTCCCCACATATGCGTAGGCTTCCTGTTATCAACATCTCCTACCAGAATGGTACATTTGTTAGAATTGATGAATGTACATTGACACCTATCATCCAAAGCCCATAGTTTTTACTTTAGGTACTTTTGTTAGCCACTTAACCCGTTTTTAAAAAAGTGAAGTGAAGTTGATCCAAAGGAGGGAAGAATTATAAAAACAGAGACATCTTGGAATATATGACTTTCTGCCTTTCAATTAAAGATGTCTGAGTTACATTGTTTGGGCTCAGAAAAAGAAATGATGTGTATAATTCCAACTCTGAGAAATTAAGGAAAGCTGTGTTCTGTAGTCATTATTTAATCACTTTGTAGAATATGTCACATTTTATTAATATTTCCATCTAAATGTTTAACATTTTAAAAAGGTTAATTACTTCTATGGATAAATTTTAGTTCTGTGGACAGTTTAGTATATGGGCTAGAACTTTTTCGTAACGATTCCTATTAATTTTTAATCTAATTTACTTTTCCTTAATTATAAATAACTGGGTTTGCATGTGATCCTCTCTAGTCTAAAATAACATGATTTCCAAAAATCTGATCTCATCCTCACAATAAGTCATAAGAGGAAACTGAAATATAAAGAGGTTATTTTCCAGAAACAGATAGTAAGTTAGGAAGGCAGACTGAAAATCTAGGCCCTTTGTTATTATTGCTCTGGTTTGTTTTCAGCAAATAAGAAACACTCATTAAACTTTGTCTGTGATTCTTTATCTGGTGTGTTCCTGGCAACTAGACGGGCTTAATAACGATTGCAGGCGCAAATGCATACGCAGTGCTTATTGTATGTGAAGCACTGTTCTAAGTGCTTTACCTACATTAGCTCACTTGATCTTGGCCACAATGCTATCCAGCAGGTACCATTACTATCCACATTTCCTGGATGATGAAACCGAGACCCAGAGAGATTAGGCAAGGTGCTAAGGTCACAGTGAGGAAGTGATAGAGCCAGAATCTGACCCCAGATCAATACTTTTGACCCATCCACCAATCTGCTTCTCATATAATTGTAGGTATCCTTTTGTTTTATGTAAGATTTGGGATATGTTTTTGACACTGAATGAATATTGGGAGAACATGAAGGCATTAAAAGAGCCTGAAAGAAAAAATAAATACTGACCCAAAACAGTAGTGGGTCAACAGTGTAGTGATCAGCCTCATATAGAGTATCTATCATTCCAAAGCTAAACATGGCACAGACCATGGAAATACTCTTAAACTGTATATGACTTGATGCTGAATTTGCATTGATCAACCTTAAGTTGTTTTTAAAAGGAAAAAAAGCCTCGTAAATCTCCAGTATTGCCTTAAATACATACAAACATAAAATTAGATATAAATGCTTCATCTGTTGAGTTTGCATTTATAAAACAAAATTCAATTTATAACTGCAGTGTAAAACACTCAAATTTTAATTGTAAAATTAGTACATTAATTTGATTTGATGCATGATGCTGTTTTGCTGAAGCTGTTAGACCACCACAGGTTAAATATAGTGCTGGCTCCTTGAGTGCATATTCCTTTTGAAATCAGCATGAAGGAAATCATAGCGTTGCCCACATATACTCCCTTTTCTCTGTTTGAACTACCTTGGGACCTTTGTTGACGCAGCTACATTGTGTAATTGACCTTTGAAGTCTTTTTTCCACTAATGGCAGTTGTACCAGCATAAGAGTAAACACAAACACCGGTGTGAGCACTAAAATCTCTTGGTGGCTCTCCATTATCAAGAGGTGTTCATTACACCACATGTGCTCATCTGTATATTTCACATTACGGTCGACATTAAACACAACATTAACTTTCTTACAGGACAGTTAACTCCCACCTTTTGAATCCAAGAACATCTAGGGGTGTGGGTGCCCAAGTTTAAGAATTACTGGTTTCAGATGCTGAGGTCACACTTTGGAATGCTAATGTAGTATGAAAGTTGGAACAATTTTAGCTATTGACTTGTTTTTTTGTTGTTTTTCCAATTAGTCTATCAAGAATTAGAAAAGCATTTCTTAGGTTTCTTAGGGAATGGTGCATAGGAACGGCAATTTTTTTTTTTAAATTTTATTTATCTATTTGACAGAGAGAAACGCAGCGAGAGAGGGAACACAAGCAGGGGGAGTAGGAGAGGGAGAAGCAGGCTTCCCGCCAA